CTGTCTAGCATCATTACACTGTATAGGTGACTGTGTAACTGGAACTGTGTGGTTTAGATGGGGAGGGAGGATTCCAGCTAGTAATATATTTTGTTTACTCCCTTGTTCATTCTTCAGTCGTGTTTTCTGCTGACATAACTTTGTGTTAGCAGCTTTTCATTGTGATTATTTTAGAAGTGAGCAAGGTGATACTTGTTTGAAATGAGATTTTTGAGCAGCAATTCCTGCTGCTCAATTAATTTTGGAAGGCTGTCTCTTAGTGGCTTTTGAGTTTGTCTTTAAAGACCATGGCAGGCTTGTGAAAAACTTCAGTTAAAAAGAGCATCCAAGGTATCTAAGAAGATCTCAAAGCTGATGACTGAATTATCTGATCTATCTTCATGAAATCCACAACGTGAGAACAGATATTCTCTGGAAATCATAGAAGATGAACTAAAAATTATATGCGTGGTGGGTTACCATGCATTAAAATTCTGGAACAAGTTGTGTAAGAAATTCTTCAGGCAGCATGGAAGGATGTGCCTTCTAACATGCCATATATAATTTTTGGGGACACTGGAGAAAGAAGGGAGACACTGGAGAGAAATGGGCTTCTGAATCCTCTCAGGTTTGTAGTTACCTTATGAGTATCAGCCTCCTCTCATGAGTCAAAGGAGCCATTCCTTTCACCAATTAAGCCATTTTTTAAGTTCTTACAATTCTGTTTTAGTTGGACAGGAACAGAAAATGAAGCGGCTGGACTGGGAAGGTGCAAGGCTGTATAAAGATAGGCTAGCAAACGCTTCATTGTTTCCACAATCTTATCAGTACTTTCTGTGTTGGCCTTATTCACCTGATAAACACGGAGCACTGCCTGACCACAGGTTAGTGTCTGTTCAGAAAGGAGAAGCCAGTTCTGGCATCTGCTTCTGGCCCCACTTGTGTGTAGGGACACGGGTCACTTACTTGCAGAAGGTGTGAATAAAGTATCCAGTGTTCTGCTTCCTGAAATGAGTCAGAGACTGACACCTGGGCAGCTTGTACCAGCATTGGGAGATTTTTGGCAAATGGGCAAAATTGTGCTGGATTTGTAAAAGTGGAATGATATAGGCCTATGAGTGAATCCCTACATCGTTGACACTACAAGCAATTATACAGCCTAATTTTTTTAATGGTGCAAAGATTTAACAGTAGACAAAGCCCCCACTGAAGATGAAAGCCTGGGGTTTTATCAGGTTATCTGTTGAATGGCACCCTTTCTGAGACTGGCAGACCTCTCTGCAGAGGTACTTGACAGTCATTTTCTGTAATGCAAGTTCATTTGGGACTAAACTTGCTTTTTCTTCTTGGTTCTTCTTTAACTATGAAACAAAAGAAAAAACCTGTTTGAACTGACAAGTAAATTGTCATAAAATTTTCCAAACTCTTGGAGAGAGCTGTTGTAATTATACTGTGAGTTTTACTTTTTTATGGCTGTAAGTGCTAATTTGTGTAACTCCAAAGTGAATTATATGTTTGAATGGTTTGTATTACCTCTGGGCTTTGATGCAGTGCTCAATAAACTCACTCCGCAATTATTTTGCAGTTGTGTATATTGTTACATGAATATCAAGTTGACAGAGCATCATCTCAGCAGTTAGTCAGTCTACATGATACCTACTCTTAGGAAGTAAGTAACAACAAAATGTAATCCAATGAGCATTTTATAAATGTCCAACTGCTGTTTTTCACTTTGTTTCTGCTAATGCAATAGGAGCTTTCTTCCCAAGTGCCTTCTCTGCCACCATCTCTTGTATTGTCTGTCTTGTGAGTATCATGAGGGGGAAAGGAAAGTTCCTCTCTGGAGAAGTTTTCCATTTCTTGCATTTTTAGTTTTGCCTGATGTTCCAAACTCATGTTTTTGGAAGTCGTATTTCTTCTCCTCAAATAACTTAAGCATTTTCTAAATTTATTTATTTATTCTAAATAAAACAGATTTGCAGCATCCCTAGGGAAGGGGTCACATTAAACAAATACTTGCTTGTACACCAAAAGCCTGTGTACTGCATGGCTTTGTGCACTGGACTCCCCCTTTGGGGCATCTGGTGTGATAAGTGCCATGGTGACGCAAACGGAGGAAACGTGAGCAGCGTTTCAGGAGTACATCCCAAAAGCCAACCACGCTCAGCAGTGCTGCAAGGGAAGTTTTGGTTACCACTCGTGATTGTTCTTCTGAAGTGAGCTTTGAGCTGCAGCGCTTATCTTGAATCTTGTCTGATTAGACCTAAGTGCATTCACTGTGTACTGAAACAAGGCATTGATACATTGGTCTCCTTTAAGCTAAACAAGTGTCTGGAAATAATAGCCCTTTATTTCAGGTTCCTTCATCTGCAGTGAGTATTTGCTATGTGTCTTTTTGGGGTTACCATGGTCTGTGTGCAAAACAGAATTGTGCTACCTAGGAAGGTGAGTTTCAGAAACAACTGTGAGAACTGGCCAAATTTGGTAACTACTGTCATTTTTCCAAGCTGAAAAAATTGTTTGCACTTAAAATAGAGAATTTACAAAGGCCTCCTTTAATTTTATCTAGTTTTTAAAGAATTACTTTTATAAGATTCACCCAAAGTTACTGGATAATCCTGTCAAGAATTTAATTAGAACTTGAATGTAATCTGTAGGCAGTAAAATTGTACTTGACTGAAGTACCAATAAAGAAAAAAGTTTACTTATTATCTTGCCTAGTCCAAACTGCTAGGAAAATCAAAGCAGTTAATAATTATGAAGGATTTAAAAATATTTCCGTAACACTATGAACTCTCATATTTCATCTAATTTCTGGGATGCTGTGCATACATGCAGTGTATGTGCTCTTTCTCCTGCCCTGACACTTGTCAGCATCTACTTATCGTGTCTCTTGAAGGCTTTCACTTACTTACACAACAAAGTATTCCAAAAGCATATGTCTAAGCAGAGGAGTAATTCCCAATCCACAGGTTGCAGTGATGTGTGGATGATGCTGCAGGACTGTGACAAGTAGTGATGCTAGTGTTTGTTATGCAAAGAAATGAACCAAAAAGGGGACAATCCAGAATAGGGCTCATGTTCTCTTTCATTATGGTGTGATATCAGCATAGTAAAATGTGCTCAAATGTTATCCTTTCAGACACCATTAACAGTAGTTTTGGGAAAGGTTAGCTACAGCTGTAGCACAGGGATGCTAAATTCATCACCTTTAGTGTTCTCTAATAATTGAGACTGAGATTTTGCATTTCATAGGAAGCAAGGCTTCTGAAGGAAAGATTGATATAGAAATATGGGGACTATGTTTCTCATAGAAAACCCTACAGAAATGTTACAAAATAGTAAGCTAAGTGCCCTGTGTGGGGTTTGTATGGGCCTTGAGAGGCCTTTCTTTGCTTGCTGAACCAGCAGATGCAACATCCTACAACTTGGAAAGCTCAACTGAGACCATGATCACCCAACACTTACTCCTTCCCAGGGTAATTTGGGGAAAAATGACCTCCACATTTATGTTGCAGTGCAGGATATCCTAAACATATCAACATTGCAACCAGTAAGAGCAGCAATGTTCATTTGGTCATGAAATGTAACATTGAGAGCAAAGTGCCAGTAGGATCCTGTTAAATGTAAGGGAATACAGATTTTTTTCCTTTTTTTTTTTCCTTTCTATTTGGCAGTTGTCTTTGAAAGTAGTCTGAAGGGTTGCCTGACAAATCATTTTGCTTCCCTGATGAAGATCTATTAGCAGTTCAAATGTAGTGAAGATGTACTCTGCACTGAAAAGTGCCATATGCCTCATCTGACTGCTTTTATTTTAGAATTCCTTCTGCTGGAAGAACATGATTGCATCAACAGCAGGAGTAGCTGTATGTTGAGACAGGCTGACACTTTGGCCATGCCTTGTACTGAACACAGGTTGCCTGGAGCCCAGGTGCAGCCCCTATGTCAGGAAACATTTTGTGTCATTGTCTTAATAGAAAAATGATCTTTCCTTAAGTGCTGTGTATGCACCACTGTGGGTGAAACTGTGAGCTCCTGACTCTGTTGGCCAACTTAAAGGCTTGGAAACAGCTTCCCCTGGGCCTATATCATCACATGCTGCTATATGCTGTACAGCAAATACTTGTCTAGTGCAGTAGTGTGACTCCAGAAAGCCTTTTGCTGAAACAATAACCCACAGACATCATGCAGGAACAAAATAAGGCTGCACCTGACATACTGTGGGACACTGAGTTACTTTTCGCTTGTTCTGGTTTCCTGGGGAGGAGAGCAGGGTGCAAGAGTTAGTTTGGGCTGGACACCATTCTCACTGGCCAGGTTGGATGATGCTGTTCTATTTTGATATTTAGTGAACATTACCTGTAGACCAGAGGTGATCAGACTGTGCCAGTTGGCCTCAGGCCCCCTGTGCCCCTGTGTTGATTATTCTGCATGTAGATCCTTGACCAGTGGCATGATTTGTTCTCTGAGTCTGTTCAAAAGATTCATGTTTATATTTGAAATTAAAAGGGTTGATTAATTTTAGCTCTGTGCAACTGGTTGTTATTTGGTTCCTTTTGTTTCTTTTTAAGCTGAAGTTTTGCAATCCAAGCATTCATTCCTCCTGCATTATGTCAGCTTGACTTCAAGTTGCCAAACTGTAGTACAAATTCACTCTTTAAATTCTTTTTATTGGAGATAGTCAAGTAAAGAGATTTCCATTGAGATTACAAGCAGTAAGATCAAGATCATTACCAACATAATAATAATAGTAATTACCAACATAGTGTTTCTGGAGTAGTTGCCAATCTGTTACATTTAACTGTGTCTCAAGGAGGAAATCTCCCCTTGCCACCTCCCTAAGCCATGCTGTTTCTCTTCTGAAGAGCTGCTACCTTGCTGGGGGAAGTGAATGCTTCTGACCTGGGGCCTAGAAATGCTCCTCTATGTGTCTGCTGGCTTAAGGTAAAAACATCTAATTCAGAGGTAGACAGAAACAAAATACAAATGTACTGACTCCATTTTTTTCAATCTTTGTTTAGGTACTTCCTTTCCCCAGTCAGGTGGTCTACAACAGAGTTGGAAAGTGTGGAAGTCGAACTGTAGTTTTGCTTTTAAGAATTTTATCAGAGAAACATGGATTCAACCTGGTTACATCTGACATACATAACAAAACAAGACTGACCAAAAATGAGCAGGTAAGTTACTCCTGCTTGTCTTAGATCCTGTTTTCTTATTACGTGTATGAAACTGAAAAACAAAGGCATATGCTAGCGTATAATCCTATTGAAAAGATGTATTGCTACTTTGTTCCGAGTAATCATGCGGAATTCATCCTTCTCTAAGTGACTTCACTTAATAAGAGAAATGGGTGGCAGAGCCAAGAACAACATGATGTGGCAGCTAACCAGAAAGACTAACTTCCAGTGAGACAGCTCTTGAATTTAGTCAGCATAGCAGCTAGACTACCAACAAGGCAAGAAAGGTTAGTACAGTGCAGTTAAGTGCTATCAGATCTGGGACATGTATCCATGTATCTGCAGCCATTTATCCTGTAACCAGAACAACTTATTCAGACCTAGCTTGGGTCTTAAACAGAGTGGGAGTAAATAATAACCAAAAAAGCCCTTTTTGATAACTTAATTCACTTCTACTGATCAGTTGCTTCAAAAAGTTGTTTCCCAGGGCCATGCTAACCCACGTTTCTATAATATGACATGTCCATGATCCTATCTCAGCTTCTTGCTTATCTGTCTTTTTCATGTTTATTGCCAACCCTCACTGAGGGAAGTAGAAATACCACATGAAACCTCTTTACGCAGACACCCTTTTTCATGTTCCCTTAAAGCTGTAGAAGGATTACTTTTGCAGCTTTGTTTCTATGACAGATCCAGTTATTTAAATTTTCTTCTCTTCAGGGTGCACATGTACCCACTGTAAGTATCACTTCTGTGAGTAGATTGATACAAGCAGTGCAGGAAAACCTCAGACTCGGAGTGCACGTCTGTAGTCGGATGCTGCACACGTTGCCCACTGCTGCTATTTTGAGCTGCTGAGCAGGTAAAAGCTGCAATTGCTGCCTGTGTCACTTCTAGAAATAGCAGCCTGCAAACCACAAAAGGATGTGTGCAATGATCAAAATATGGATGTGGGCCTGCCAGTGACATTGTGCTGTGATTGGGGGTCATTTATTTGCATCCTGTTCATGAGCAAAAGTTTGTTACTTTAGATGCAGCAGTTCATTCCAAATGAAAATTCAGGAGCTGATACTGCTCCTGCAGGTCTCTCTTTCCTCCCCTTCAAGGTGTCCATGGGGTCCCACCACTGCTGGCTGACCTAACACTCCATAAGTTCAGCCAGAGGTGGGGTCCAGCTGGGCAGGGCTGCCATGCCAGCCCAAATACGGCTGCTGTTCATGGTTGGATGTGGGACACCAGTGACAGGCTGTGGAGGGGGACAGTGTCCCCTCAGTGCCCCTGCTTGTGGCCAAGGAAATGCCTGCTCTGTGTCTGCTGCAGCATGCCTGTGTATATCCTACCAGCAGCACCATGCAGCCTGGCAAGGTTGCAATATGGTCCTATCAGAAAGGGGATGCTACAGAGCCTGTCTGCTTAGGTTTTCTGCTGGGATATGGGATTTCTGTGGGTAGGATTGCTTGGGTTTTGTTTGTATCTTTCATCAATTTTCATTGCTGATTGAGGGACATACCATAAATCCCAAAAGTCTTTCAGGTGCTAGTAATCCCGAGCTTTCACCATTATCAGCTTCTTCCTTTCAGTTCTGTTCTGTCTTTGGTTGGTGGATTTTTCCTTTGCTGAAACATAATACAAGGTCACTTCTTCACAGTTTTCTGTGCTTTAGTCCAGCATGTGGAGGTTCCAGAAAGGCCCAGACTTACTTTTGATGCAACCAATAACACTGACAAGTAATTATCTGCATTACTTTCTGCACTCCCTAAGTGGTTAATTTACTAAACGGCAAATGTGCTGGAAGTATTGCTACAGAGCTGATGATTTACTCTGTAGATTTCTCTGCATTATTTGAGTCTCTTTATTTTTATTTATGGTTTATTTCCATAGTTACAATAGGCTCATAATTTATTGAGCAGTTTTGCTGAAAAGTGCCTTTGATCACCAGAGAACATGCTTGGAGACAGTAACTATTCTGTTGTTCAGGGCATTTTTAGTTGTCCTCTCAATTTTTGAGAGCAGAATATGAAAAAATAAATTATGTTTTCCACCTTTAATGTGGTGTAACAGGAGGAAGTTAAGGCAATGAATGATCTCAGGCTCCAGGCATTGGAACAAGAAAAAAGAGAGCTGGGCTGGGCTGTAGGCTTCTAGCATGAGCATGGACTTCTCACTTGAGATGATATGTCTCTCTTCCTTCTGTCATTTCTGTGTCCTGTGTTTGGTTAAAGCCCTGATCCAGCCAAGACTTTACTGTAAATATTTAGCTTATGCAGTCTGCTGTTGTTAAATAAAGTTAAGCATGTAGGTGTTTTTAATGACTGTGGGGATTGCACATAATTGGAATCCATATTCTCATTGCCTTTTCCAGTCTGCTTCCTACGAAGAAATTTTCCCAAATTATGTGTGTCTGCCAGCAATTAGAAGTGCAGCCTTTGAACATCTGTGGGCATAAGGGAGTGAGTTCTGGAAACAGATGTATTAATATATGGCTTGCCATTTGCTATAATATTTTCAAGTAAATTAAATACAGGAAATAACACATAATATTAACCTAATTGATGTGGCTTTAAAATGCCACTCAAACTGTTACAAAATGAAGTCTTCCCCTGCTCTGACTTTGTCCTCCACTACCTTTTTATTACATTCAGGGAAGTAAGAATGAGTATGCTTATAGGTATAGAAATGCAAGTCACATACAAGAGTAATTGGTAGTTTATCCTCAAATTGTTTCCTTCTACCACCCATCATTATGGCTGTGCAGCCAACTTTATATGTAATTCCAGTTCAACGCACTAAAAATCCATGACTAAATTTTCTTAAATGCTTTTAAAGACAGAAAATTGGTCATACCAGCTTGGGGAGGTGAAGAAATTCTTGAAACCATTCCAAGCTTTTGAGAGCTGAAAATGAAGATCTAGTCTCATTCCTGGGAGTTGTGAGTTGTTTATGGAAATGAGTACAGAGATGAAAGTGATATACCAAAATTCTTGTAGGTACTTGTGCCTCCTGAGCCCTACATGCCTTCAGTAGAGAGTGAAAGCAGTGGAAGAACGTAAAGAGCTCACAGGGAAGCGATACAGAGGGGTTTTTTGTCTTTTTTGTGTCAGTACTAGTGGAGACCATAGTGTTATACAGCGGACCACGCTGGGAAATCCCAGTTGCCTCACCATTTTTATACATTTTGACCTCAAATTTTCACACTGAAATACAGCATCTTAAAAAAAAAGTAACATTTTGGCTGTTGTTTGGGTGGGATTGTTACCTTTTGTTCCCAGTAGAATTTACTTACTGAAAACCTCAAAAAAAGTGGGGCTTCCCTGAGTGGTTAGCACAGGGACTGGACTAGCCATCTCCAGAAGAGAAAGGTGACTTGTCTCGAAGGCCAGAGTTGATTTTTCATGCAGGAACAATGCTGAGGCTAGAGAAAATCCATCCTCATCCAGCCCTCCTGGAGTCACTTCACGGTGCCATCTGCTGGAGTGTTATCTGCAATGCAGCACCGGCCCATTGCAGGTTAATTTCAAGAGTAAATCTTATAGAAAAAAACGTACAAAGAAAAATCTAACAACCAAAACCAATCAACTAAACTTATTCTTCTGAGAGACACTGGTGATTTTTCTCTTTGTTGTGTTTTTTTTTCTTTTCTTTAACATAATTTTAGGAGGAGGGAGGGATTACTATGTCTTTCTGAGCAATGCATTTGGGTTGTTAGCCTGAAAGCAGTTCAAGACAGCATGGTGAGAGAGGGAGAGGCCCATGGGAAATATGGCCACAATTTGCATGTGGCCCTGAGCCATTACAGTTATTTATTTTTTCCCTCCTGACATCTGTGTGTCATTTCAGTTAAGCCTTACTTACCCTTTTGGCAGGGTTTTTAGAAGAATGGATTTTACTTGTTGTTCTTATGCACATTGTATCTTTATCCACATCTGCTTACAAGTCCAGTTGATCATTAACTGTCTAAATATGAAGGTACTCTAAGTCAAAACAAAATTCTGTTTCTGCTTTGGAGCAAGCTGTTGTCTTAGCTCAAGGGACTGAGTTTGGTAGCAAGAGATCAAAAAAAAAGCCAGGAGCCAGATGCTGTCTTGCTCTGTGTGCATCCTTCCAGCCTCCCTTTGCTCCTGAGGCCGAAGTGCTTGTGCTTGTCCAGCAGCAGGTTCATGTGACACTGACATCAGGTGAAATGGAGTGAGAAATGTGGCAGTGCTGTGATGTGAATCTGCTTCCTGATAGTAAATTGGTGCCAGCCCTGGGGACAGCTGGGAGCCAAGGGAAGCTCATCTGGTGCTTTGCAACACTCACATACACCCCCAGCTAAGTTTATCTAGCAGTAGTCTACTAGAGCTGCCTGTGTTTTTAGATTTAGTGAGATTACTTTGTATGGGTTATAGTATCTTTATATCTCCATATTCATACTCTAATAAGGCTTTTTTCATTAATGCCAAGAAGGAATTACAGTGATGACCATAGGGGCTTGAACAGAGTTTTTATACCAAATCAGTAACTTCCTTCTGCAGTCTTCGTTCCTTCATACAGATAGAGCAACAGAAGTAAAATGCAAAATATAACATCAGGCTTTATACAGTTCTGAGAATTTCACTTCTCCTGTAACTTGTCTCAGTGAAAAAAAAAAAACAAACAACAAAACAAACAAACAAAACCAAAACAACAACAACAAAAAAACCCCAATAAACAAAAAAAATCTGTAGCAGGTTGACTATCACAGAATCCAATTGAGACATCTAATACACAGGCTACAAGGTCTTCTATTGTTTGATTCTGCAAGGTGAAGGAAGAATATAATAATATAATTTTTTGGCAGAGTGAGTTACCAGTTCTAAAGAAATATCAACATATTGGTTTGCTAGGAAAGCCTTTGTCTCTTCAGAGCATGAAGTAGGAATACTCAGTTCCTTTGTGTTAAGTATTGCAAAGCTTCCTGGGCTTTCTAATTCTGATCTGGACAAGCTTTGCTCTTCAGGTTTATCAATTTCTTGCCCAATGCGTTTATATTGTACTGAAGAAGCTGTGGAAAGACCAGTTTATGCTTGAATCAAGCAGTCCAGACTCCATATAGGACTAGCTAAGGAAGGGATTCTATTCGCTTCCTGACTATTTCTTTAAATTCCTTGTGTTAATTTTTTTTTTTAATTGCACACGTTCTCTCCATATTCTCTTGTTGCTCTTTTCCCTTTATATTGTCTTTCTTTTGGTGATCTCATCTTACATTCAATTTCTTTGGGTTTTCAGCCTTTTTTAAATGTAACATACCTTGCTCTACTTTCTCAAACATAATATGTTGTGAGGTATAAGTTCTCTACCTAATATACCTTGATGTACTCAAACTAGTTGGACAGGAAAAGGTCCATCCTGAGAAGATGGACAAGCTGAACTGTTTCAGTGGTCATAGTGTATGTGTGTATATATTGTTGAAGACAGAGGGAAAGTAAGGAAAGTGGATAAGTGTGTGCACTTCTTTCTGGCAGTTAAATGGCTGTAGCTTATGTTGGCTGAAAGAAGAAGGCAGGGTATGTGCACAGGGAAAAAGTGGAGGATGCAAGATGGATAAGAAGCAGTAAGGTGTGACACAAATTACAAAAACCATGGCTAAATGTCAGTCCATTGAAACTGGACGTTAAAAGGGGAACAATTTGGCAACTGCTGCCTCTTAAATGTGGTTTGGTATTTGCTATGGCATGGGCAGAATTTTTTACCATGCTCTTTTTGCTGCTAGTAACTCCACACATGCCAGTTACTTTGTTTTGACCACACAGCAGGCTGGACTCTCATGTTTTTGCTTATTTTATCTGTGTCAACTATAACATTCAAGTTCTAAGAAATACATTTTTTAATTACTGTCTCCTCACATAGATTAATATGATTCAAATCAGAACATCTAGTTCACAGACTAACCTCTTTTTTTATCCAGTGTATTAATTGTTTTCTACTACCCAGTTTGAAAAATCAATAAACCTGTCATTTCAAGTGTATTTCTGTTCAGTGTCCATAACATAGCCTGCATTTGAACACAGTACAGAAAATTGGAAATTAAGTCTTAGGAAATTAATAAGAAGGAAGGAAAATTAATTGAAACATTGACTCTCTTGCATGATGCTTCCCTAGATACTTCCAGTTTCCTCTAAATCATAGCTAGAGTTCAGCTTACACAAAATAGATTATCATATCTGTAGTGTTGTTTACATTATTCTAGCTTAATGTTCTGGAAACTTGAATTATTTAGTTTTTTGGGGTTTTTTTTCTTTTTAATTTAATGTTATGTGAATGGGCCTGAACTAGAATTTAGTATCATCTCTAAAAATGCCCATTCAGTTTGTACTCCTAATTTGTTGTAATATGAAAAGAAATTGCAAGTCCTGATTTCTATATTAAAACAAGAAGATCAGTTGGTGTCTTGGATGTGTTGGCAGTGTTTATTTTTACACAGAAATGACCATTGCTTCATCTCCTGCTTTCTGTTACAGTTTCAGACATTTTGCATTTTTGGCATTGGGGTGAATGCAGTTAGTATCTTCAGAGGGCAGATGCTGTTTAGAAGGCTCTTGTAGATTTGGAAAGAGTTTAGATTTTTCCTTTAGTTTATGCCTTTGTTTAAACTGATACCCGCTTTTGGAAGTATTTTGGAAGTACATAAGCTCTATGGTAGCAGAATGGTGTCTGCAGCTCAACCTTTCTTGCTTGGACATAAAATATTCATCATGCTATCTTGATGACAATGTTTGGGAGGGATAGTGGGGAATGAGGTCCTGAGCAATTCAGGCTTGAAAATTATATCATCATCTGTTGTTTGAAAGTTTTATGTTTGTCTCAAATTGTGCGTTGATGTAACGTGGAAAATTTGATTTGTTCATTCTTTTTAGATGGAATTGATTAAAAACATAAGCACTGCTGAGCAGCCCTATTTATTTACTAGACATGTTCATTTCCTCAACTTTTCAAGGTAAGGCATTTTTTGGTCAAAAATATTTTTCAATGATTTTTATTAATTGTAATACATAAAATATTTTCCCTCTTTTACTCATAAACAATACAATGCGCTTCTTTTCCTTCCTTCTGGCACTAGAATTCACATTCCAAAGTTGTTGGTTTTTCCCCCCACGCTCACTTTTCTGTAGCATGACTATGTACCATAAGTTTGTAAAAAGCCAGGATGCTATTATATGCTTTTGCCTCTTGAGATGATTGTGATTTACAATGTTTCCAGTCAACATGCAAGAGATGGTAACTTAGGTCTTTGAACTGTGCACTTGTGTTTTAAAAGTGGCAGAACACTTCAGTTAGTGTTTCATCTGTGTACAGCCAGACACTAAAAGGAGATGTAAAACTGCACTGAGTTCATTAATTTTGTGCCTGGAATGACTCTCCACCAATATAACCAATTTAATTTTGTTCTGGCAAAATAGCCCCCATTCCACAGGCTATGGAAGTATTTTTAAACCATGCAAACAGATTACACTCTGTATCATGGGAGTGCTGTTTCTTCTGGCAGATATTTAAAAGTATGCAGCAAGACTCTAGAGACTTTTATAGCACGGAATGTGAAGAAGATTGAATTTGGATGAAACTTCTAAGGAATTTTTGGAAGGACTTGAATAAGTGATGCCAGTTAGCTTTTAGCCAGGATGCAGAGGTTAAAGCTGACTGCAGATGGTTGTTGCCCAGGCTGTACATTTAGTCTGGAAATTATATTCAGGAACCATGCTATCTGTGCCACCAGATTGGATTCCTTGCATTTAGATTTTTTTAAATTCTGTAGAATTATGATTGTACTGGAGATCTTTGCCAAAGCTTTCCTAAATACACAGCATGGTACATTTTGTTTGCATGGTTAAATGAATGCATGGCTTCTGTAGACAGTGTAGTAAGAAATTAGAAAATTTGGGGCAGGGTGTGTTTATTTTTGTTATCTTTGAAAATAAAATATTTTGAGCAATTTGCAATTCACTTGATATAGAACGTAACTATGGGCATGATTTTTTATATTGAAACAAGAGGAGTTAAACAAAATTTTAATCTTCTGTATTCTCTTCTAATTCCTTGAGAGTTCCATTTCTAATGTATTACCATTAAAAAAAAAATCATTAGGGCTTCACACTTTTGGTAAATTATCTTTTTCCTCTTCCAAACTGCAAGATCAAAAGAGTAGCCACATGTGAGGGTCAAAGGGATGTTCCCTGATTAGACTGATTTTACTGACATGGTACTCAACACTAGATCTGAGAGAAAAAGGTCAACAGTCTTAACCTCTTGCTCCTCCCATTTTGTGTACCTATGCTATATCCTTGCCACTAAGGTATCACATTTCTTCTGTAGTGTATACATGATGTATCTACAACATATTTACCTTTTCCTTACAATACAAATCTGCAAAACTACAAACCAGTTACATAAGATGTATAAAATTATTTGTAGTTGCTCTTTTGGCTCTTTGCAGACCTGAAAACATACCTTTTGTTTTATTGACAGTATCCTTGGTTTAACTAGCAGGTGTGAAGTAGTGAAAAAGCTGATGAGTCTTCTAAATCAGACAGCATTGAATTGCAGCAACATTTCATACTAGTGTTCAGCTTTCTTAGTGTTTTCTGATAAATTAAACATTTTTAGTTTCAAAATTTATTAGCAGTGTTATACTTAACAGTAAAGTAGCATGTTTTATATTTTCTTGGTTATTTGATTCTAGGGTGGTTTATTTTTTAAACTGATTTCATTAGTAAATTAATTGTCAAATATTGCATTTACAGAAATTTCAGGATGTGGTTTAAACACACATTATAAATATTACAATATTATGAAAGTGTTCTAGTTTTTCTTGATTTCTTTTAAACTGTTTCTTTATAGAAACCTTCCTACCTGTAGTGGTTAGCTGGACTCAGATTGTCTGTGGAATACTTTTCTTCCAATTTCCCCCATCTTTTCTGCCAGCTCAACATAAAAGTCGTACAAAACTCCTCAGACTAAAAGAATGGGGCTGAGAATATTGATGTGGAGTTTTCTGGGTGACAGCTGAAGACCTCAGACAATAGCTTGACATGAGCAGCCAGCAGAGTGGGGAGCAGGACAGATGCACAGGGATGGGTAGGAGACAACAGCTGACTCCTGACTGCAGGTTTAGAGCAGGTCTAGATCCATTAAAGGCTCAAAGATGAGCTTGAAGATTGAAGAACCCTCTTTTGGTGAAACTTCATGCTCCCTTCCAGGAAAAGGCATGAGGCTTTCTACATGCCATTGCAGCAGAACCATTACTGGAATCTGTGAATTTTTGCAGGAGCAGCCTTTTTGGACATCAGTCCAGTGACTCACTTCTCTTGTTTGGCATTTTATACCTTTGAAACCAAGTTTTTGTTCACAGGAAGGGATAAGAAACAACTTTTTCTCCTTCCTGCTGCATATATTGAGCTGGCAGCCAGGTAGGAGCTAGAAGGCATGTTACTTTGCTGCTCTTTTGTTTGGTCACGTTTGGACCAAAAGAAGTGTCTTCTGCTTGCCTTGCACCTCCTCTGCTTGAGTGTTTCCAATATGTGTAGGGTTTGCATTAAGCCATTTAGAGCATATCACCAAGGTACTAGAGATGCAGAGAAAATATAAGCAGAGTCATGAAAAATGTGAATCTGATTTGGTTTGGCTTAAAATAGAGATGTAGAGTCATTTAGGGTAGAAAAGATCCTTAAGATGATCAAGTCTAATTGTTAACACAGCACTGCCAAATCTGCCACTAAGCCATGTCCCTGAGTGCCACATCTACATTTAAGCACCTCCAGGGATGTGGACTCAATCACTCCCCCAGACAGCCTGTCCTAATGCCTGACAACCTTTTCCATGAAAAAAAATTTCTGAATATCCAATCTAAACCTCCCCAGCACAACTTGAGGCTGTTTCCTCTTGCCTGGTCACTTGTTACTTGGGAGAAGAGATCAATCCCCACCTGGCTACAAACCTCCTTTCAGATAGTTGTAGAGAGAGTACGATTTTCCATTAACCTCCTTTTTTCCAGGTTGAAGAACCCCAGCTCTCTCAGCTATTTCTCATATGACTTACTGTCCAGACCCTTCACCAGCTCTGTTGTGCTTCTCTGGACACACTCCAGCACCTCAGTGTCCTTCTTGTAGTGAGAGGCCCAAAACTGAAGTGAGGTGTAGCCTCACCTGTGCTGAATAGAGGGGAAGATCACAGCCCTTGTCCAGCTGGCCACACTGTTGCTGATACAGGCCAGGATGCCACTGGCCTTGGCCACCTGGGCACACACTGCCTCATGTTTGGGTGCTGCTGACCAGCACCCCCAAGTCCTTTTCTACCAAGCAGCTTGCCAGCCACTCTGCCCCAGCCTGTAATGCTGCTTGGAGTTGTTGTGACACAGGTACAGGACCCAGCACCAGGCCTTGTTGAGCCTTATACAATTCCCCATCAATCCAGCCTGCCCGGAGACCTCTGCAGTACCTTCCTACCCTCCAGCAGATCAACTCTCCTGTCCAACTTGGTGTTGTCTAAGGGTGCACTTGATCCCCTCATCCAGATCGTTATTAAAGCTGTTAAACAGATGCTGTTAAACAGAACTGGCCCCATGCCAGCACCAGGCCTTGTTGAGCCTTATACAATTCCCCATCAATCCAGCCTGCCCGGAGACCTCTGCAGTACCTTCCTACCCTCCAGCAGATCAACTCTCCTGCCCAACTTGGTGTTGTCTAAGGGTGCACTTGATCCCCTCATCCAGATCGTTATTAAAGCTGTTAAACAGAACTGGCCCCATATGAGCCCTGGGGATCACCACCTGTGACTGGCTGCCAGCTGGATGTAGCTGTCCAGTTTTTCACCCAGCCAACTCTGCACCCATTCAAGCCATGAACAGCCAGTTTGTCTGGGAGAATGCTGGAGGAAGCTGTCACAGGCTTTACTGAAGGCCAGGCAGACAACATCCACGGCCTTGCCCTCATCCATTGTGCAGGTTGCCTTGTCATAGGAGTAGGTCAGGTTGGCTAAGCAGGACCTGCCTTTCACAAACCTAGGATGGCTGGACCTGGTCCCCTGGCTGTTGTGCATGTGCCCTGTGATGGCACACAGGATCATCTGTTCTACAACCTTCCCTGGCCCTGGTGTCAGTCAGGCTCACTGGCCTGTGCTTCCCTGGAGTCTCCTTCCAGCCCTTCTTGTAGATGGGCCTCACATTTGCTAACTTCCAATAACAGGGACGTTCCCACTTATCCAGTACTGTTGGTGAGTGATGGAAAGTGGCTCAGGGAGCACTTCTGCTATCTCCTTCTGTACCCTTAGGTGGATCCCATCTGGCCCAATTGACCTGTGTGTAGCTGCTCACTGATAATTTCCTCTTGAATTGAGGATTTCTTTCTACTCCCTGTATCTGTCTTACAACTTGGAGCAGGGTACCCCAAAAATAACTAGTGTTTTATTAAAGCCTAGGGCAAAGAAGGCATTAAATACCTTAGTCTTTTCCTTATCCTTGTTGGTGCTTCTCAGACAACTTGGAGCAGGGTACCCCAAAAATAACTAGTGTTTTATTAAAGCCTATGACAAAGAAGGCATTAAATACCTTAGCCTTTCCTTATCCTTGTTGGTGCTTCTCATCTTCCCAAACAGTAGTAAAACAATAAACTTGTTGGTTTTTTTTAACATTGCTGATGTGAATAGCAGCAATGACATATCAGTTGAATTTTCTGCCGTTGTGTCCTGTACCCACTTATAAACCTGTCAGCACTCTCTGATTATTCAGGAAAGCATTTACTTATGATTGTTTCCAAGTGAAAACCAAAAAAGGCTATATCTTCTTTCCAGAGTAAATCTCCCGTGGAAGTGAGCTAAGCCTTTAGTGATGAGTTTGAGTACATGCATGTTTCTGAAGCCCCATTAGTTTTGCTGAACAAAGTTCTAAAACCTTGAAAATCTCATCCTGACCTGAAAGCTTGCCAAGGCCATTTCCCCCTCATTCTT